AAAAAGTAATGTACAAACGTATGCTCTTTGAAGAAAAAAATCAAACAGAAAGACGTAGAAGGAAAAGTAAAAATGAACTGTCAACCTCCTTTTCCCACTAGAAGATAAACTTCATAAAGTCAAGATTCTTTTTTCTGTTTTGTTGCTCTAACGTATCTCAAGCACCTAGACCAGAGCTTGGCACATAAATAGCTGCTACATCATTCACTTATCGGATGAATGAATGAATAGGTAAACACAGTTGATGATTTGCTGTTCTCCTTACTTTTTCTAGACATACATAAAGTTTTTTCTTATTTATTAAGTAAATTGGATCAAAGTGCTAAAAAACTCAAGATGATTTCATTTTCTTATCCCTGAAACTTGTTTTACCATTATTATTACCATTTCTCATTCCTTCACTATCGAAACAGAACATCTGCACCTTGCTGATAAACCTTCCAAAGCCTGTTAAATGATTCATTCTTCTCTACCTTTCCTGCTGTCACTCTAATCCAGGTCACTCCATACACCTGTACCATCTAACTGGCCTTCCTCTTTGTCATCTTACTCCTTATCTTGGCCTACCCCAACCCATGCAGTCAGAGCACTCTTTAAAACACAACTTTGGTTGTTTCCCTTGTCTTAAAATTTTCAAAAAGACTTTTTATGACCTGTGGGACTGATGATTAGCAAGGATTACAACTGCTTCATGATCTGTCTTCTTGCTTTTCCACCTTTTTGATCAAATAAAAATTGTATACATTTAAGGTGTATACCTTAATGTCATGATATATCTATACTATGTGAAATAATTGTCACAATCAAGTTATTCAACATATCCAATACCTCACATGGCTATCACTTTTTCATGTATGGTAAGAACACTTAAGATCTACCCTCTTAGCAAATTTCAAGTATGCAATACAGTATTGTATTGTTAACTGTATTCACATTGCTATGATTAGGTCGCCAGAACTGATTTATCTTGCATAACTGAAACTTTGGATCCTCTGACTAACATCTCCCCATTTCCCCCTCTCTGCAGCCCCAGGGAACCACTATTCTATTCTCTATTTCTATGAGCTTGACTATTTTAGATTCCACATATAAGTCAGATCATACAGTAGTTGTCTTTCTGTGTCTGGATTATTTCCATTAGCATAAGGTACTCCAGGTTCATCCA